GGAGCTTGCAGGCTCGGTTTCAGGTTTCCTGACCCTCCTGACGCTACTGTCGCGGATGAAATCTTGTATTCCAGTTTCAGACCTCCCATCTTCTTATCCTGTGCTTTTAAAATGTGCTGTTCTCGCCTCTGTGCGCTCAGCTGCCAAACCCCACCAGCCTCCTCGGACTCCTCCCTCACTGTCCATGGACTCAGATCCATCGCGGTAACGGAACAACCTTGGGAAAGGAAACCGCAGCTCTTTTTGTGTTTTGTTGTTGTTTTTTCTAGCTGCTTCTACAAACATTCCGCTTCCCAACTTTGAAACCTTCCCCAAGCTGGCACATTTGTTTTTCATTTTGCTGGTTCTTTTGCTAACAAATCGATCATATTGGACATATAATTGATTTGAAATTTTCTAATACTATACATTTAGAAAACATCTTTATGGGATACGATCCACTTGCCATACAATTCACCCATTTAAAGTGCATAGTTTAGTGGTTTTTAACATATCTACAGAGTTGTGCAATCATTACCACAATGCAATTTTAGAACCTTTTCTTTTTTTTCCTTTTATTGATTTTAGGAGAGATAGAAACATCAATGACAGAGAACATCAATTGACTGCCTCCTTCATGCCCCCACTGGGCCCACAACCTGGGCATGTGTCCTGACCAGGAAGCGAACCAGCGACCTCTTGTTGCATGGGTCAACGCTCAACCACGGAGCCACACCGGCTAGGCTGTCCCCTCAAAAAGAAACTCTGAACCCATTCATAGATATTCCCCACACCCCACACCCCACACCCCACACTGGCAACTACTTATTCTAGTTTTTGTCTCTGAAGTGTCTGTTCTGGACGTATCACATTGCTTGTTTCTCAGTATGTGCAGAAAATTGGTTCCAGGTCCCCCACTGAAACCAAAGTCCAAGGATGCTCAAGTCCCTTATATAAAACAACAGTTTTTGCATATAAACTATGAACATCTTCCTGTATACCTTAAATAATATCTAGATTACTTATAGCACCTAATACAATGTAAATATATGTAAATAATTGTTATACTGATTGTTTAGGGAATAATGACAAGGAAAAATTCTGTGCAGTACATGTTCAGTATAGATGCAACCTTGTAAGCCTAACTACATTGTACACATCTGCAACAATGTTTTCCAAATATTTTCCGTCAGTGGTTGATTGGCCAACTTAAATGGGAGCAGACTTTTTGTCACTGGCCTCTTGCTTAGCATAGTGTTTGTGAGGTTCATCCATGCAAACATTTGTGGGTTTTTTGTGTGGGGGGGGGGCTTCCGGTGAAAAACGGAAGGCCTACTAGACAAATTCAAAAAGAGCTGTAAGCACTCAAACATTTGTTTTAATATTCTTTGCATACTTGCTACATTTCACAAGTAATGAGAAGTTAGAGACCCATGGAGAAACAAAGTTCCTGCCCTATGATAATAGCTACATCTCACAGGGCTTGGCCAGGGGCTAAGCACTGACACCATACATTGTGCATTGTAAAGATTGATACTCTAAGCTATTACATCACTTTTAAATGTAAACAATCAAGGTAAATACCCAAGAGAGTTGATACTTACCATCATAATTTTTTTATTTTAATTTTTTGTTTTGTTTTATTTTTTCAAGCTACATGTTTTATTTTTTATTTATTTTTTTATTATTTTATTTATTTATTTTTGTTCAGAGTGGGCGAGAGAGAGGAGCATGGACATGAAAGGGATACATCAAGTGGCTGCCACCCACACAACCCAACCAGGGCCAGGGACCAACTGCAACCGAGGTACATGCCCTTAGAGGGAACTGAACCTGGGTCTCTCTGAACCGCAGACTGACGCTCTAACTGCTGAGCAAAACCGGCCAGGGCTATTTTAATTTTTTATATGATTGTTTTTTGTTCTTGAAGTTGTTTGCCACTTCCATTTATCCAAGAATTGAATATAAATATATCTGCATACCTGAAAGTGTTTTATTGATTACTCAATCATATTTTTTATTATAAAGTATCTACATTAATTGGATTTTTAACTTTTTCTACATTTCTTGAACTGAAAATTCTATGCATTAATGTTTTTCTTCTAGACTGGCTTATCATAATTATTTGTAGTACAACCTTTATCAATCCACTATATTACAAATTTTGATCATTATGAACCATAAATGTGTCATTTTATTGGAACTGCATTTAAAATTAGATGGATACATATTATATATTGCTAGAGGAGACTGGGTTTAGTCCCAATGCTATTTTTTAAAATATATTTTTATTAATTTTTAGAGAAGAAGGGAGAGGGAGAAATAGAAAGAAATATCAATGTGAGGGAACCATCTATGGGCTGCCTCTTGCATGCCCCCTACTGGGGATGGAGCTCACAACCTGGGCAAGTGCCCTGATGGGGAATCCAACTGGTGACTTCTTGGTGCATGGGATGATGCTCAACCAACTGGGCCACACTGGCTGGGCCCCAAAGCTTTTTTTTTTTTTAATGTTCATAGTTGACCTAAGAAAAACACCGTTCCCATAAATCAATAGCTAGAGTTTCAGCAAGGTCATTCACTACCATATAATGAATGGCCAGGTGACAACTAACTGGATTAAGTCCTCTTTAAATTCTGTTGAAAGAAAAAATTTGGATTTTTTTTTTATCCTCACTCGAGGACATTTTTCCATTCTTTTGTTCAGATAGAGTGGGAGAGAGAGAGAGGAAGAGAGAGAGAGAGAGAGAGAAACATCGACGTGAAAGGGACACATCGAGTGGCTGCCACCCGCACGACCAACCAGGGCCGGGGACAAACTGCAAAAAGGCATATGCCCTTAGCGGGAACCGAACCCGGGTCTCTCTGGACCGCAGGCCGACTCTCTAACCGCCGAGCCAAACCGGCCAGGGCAAGATTTGAAAATATTTTAAATTACAAAAGAATTTGTTGTCCAGACTTATTCACTTCCTCAAAATGGCTGCAAATATTTTTAATTGACATTTATTGGGAACCCTGAACATTTTTAGATCCTTCAGCATTGTGCCTGGGAAAGGTTTAGGGTGGATGATAAAAGAACCTTTATTTTGTGAAGTGGAAGAAGGGCAATCAGTGAAAGGGAGGCAGAAAAGGAGTCCTTCCCTGGCTGGTTTGGCTCAGCGGTTGGAGCATCAGCCTGTGGACCAGAGAGTCCGGGGTTCGGTTCCTGCTAGGGGCATGTACAGGAAGGAAGGAAGGAAGGAAGGAAGGAAGGAAGGAAGGAAGGAAGGAAGGAAGGAAGGAAGGAAGGAAGGAAGGAAGGAAGTCCTCCATTGACCTCCCAATGTCGAACACTCACCCAGCCACCTTTCCTTTATGACCAGGCCAAGCCCAGCGTCCCATGAAAGTGAGGTTGTTCAGTGGTTCCCGCCTTGGGTGTGGATGCTGGGAGCTTCTTGGCCTAGGGTAGTAATGATGGAAATGACTGTGTTCTGTGCTGTCCAAAATGGCAGCCACCACTCTCATGTGACTATTGAGCACTTGAAATGTGACTAGTGCATCTGAGGAACTAAATTTTTAATTTTTAAAAATTGTAACCAATGAAATGTAAATAGCCAACATGGCTAGTGGCTACCATATTGGACAGTGTAGAGCCACAGAATCCCCGCAATGTCCTGGGCTGGGTTTTCCCCGTGATCAAAGGACTGGACTATTGCATTTTCTCTCAAGGGAAAGAGGACATAAGTCTCTAGTCCTTTCTCTTCTGAAGTTAGGTCAAAGTATCTCTCATCCCTAGCCCCCATTCTCATCCTATTACAAAGGACCCCAAAGAAAAATCTTGAGATATCCAAGAGCAAAATCTTAAAGCAATGGGAAGAATTCCTGGAGCTGGGTGTCAATGGGGGGAAAAGGAGAAACATCTGTAACAAAAATAAATTAATAAAAAAAGAAAATATTCTTTATTTTTTTATCCTCACCCAAGGACATTTTTCCATTTTTTGTTCAGATAGAGTGGGAGGGAGAGAGAGAGAAACATCAACGTGAAAGGGACACATCAAGTGGCTGCCTTCTGTTCTCTCTCATCGATGTTTCCTTCTCTCTCTCTTCCTTCCTCTTTCTCTAAAATCAATATAAAAAAAATAAAAATAAACAAAAAGAAGGGTGAGCTAGAGAGCTTAAGCAGGGCTGGTGAACAAGGAAAGTAAAAGAACTTGAGTGGATACTTCTATTAAGAGAATGGTTGCCCTGGCTGGTTTGGCTCAGCGGTTGGAGTGTCGGCCTGTGGACCAGAGAGTCCCAAGTTCGGTTCCCGCTAGGGGCATGTACCAAAAAAATAAAAAAATAAAGTTAACAATATTTTTTAAAAAAGGGAGAGAGAATGGTAAACCCAGCCGGTGTGACTCAGTGGTTGAGTATCAACCCATGCACCAAGAAGTCACGGATTCGATTTCCGGTTAGGGCACATGCCCAGGTTGTGAGCCTGATCCCCAGTGGGGGGCATGCAGAAGACAGCCAATTGATGTTCTCTCTCATCAATGTTTCTATCTCTCTCCCTCTCTCTCTGAAATCAATAAAGAGAAAAAAAATTTTTTTTAAAAAGAATGGTAAAAAGGGTCCTACAAGTAGCTAAGATAAGTGTCATCCTGCCCTGTCCAGTTTGGCTCAGCGGTTGAGCATCAGCCTGCAAACCAAGAAGTCCCAGATTCGGTTCCCGTTAGGGGTACGTGCGAGCGCGCGGGCACACACGCACACACACACACAAGATGCTTGATCTCCCCCACAAACTTCCCCATACTTGATCTTTTAGTCAGGATACATGCAAGAATCAACCAATGGATACACAAATAAGTGAAAAAATAAATGATACTTTTTTATTTCTCTTTGTCAATCAGTAAAAAGTTAGGATACTTCTACCTCAAATAAAAAAACCACAAAGCTATACTTTTATTGCATTGATATAGACAAATGCAGAAACTTAAACACAAGTAGTATTGTACTAACATACTTTTAGAACCTGTCTTTTTTTCCCACACAGTATAATTGCCTTGTTAAAACAAGGACTCAAAAAATTGAGAAATGATTCAGATTGGTTTCTCTCCACGGAAATCTTTAGTAAAAGGCGAAAGATTTGTACGTTTTGAAGAAAAACCCTGAAATATGAAGCTTAGTTTGTTACTCACTTTTCATGAAACTGTAACTCCTAGTGAAGTGATGGTGGCTATTTATCTCAAGAGTTGCTGCCTCCAGAAGTTTATTCTAAAATAACATTTTCATACTTGGAAAAGTAGAGTAAGAAAAAAATGTATAACTTGAAAATTGTTAATATTGTTTGTAGTGTGCTATAAATATGCAAATAAGATCTGAATAATCACCCGTTAGACTCCAGGAAATGTTTTAGTATTCAAAATTTGCTCTGGGGTGGGGGAGGAGGTTGGGTAGAGGGAGGCAAAGCGGGGAGGGGTCGGCAGCGGGGAGAACATCTGTAATAGTGTCAACAACAAAAAAGTTATCACTCACACACAAAATATTTGCTCTGGGACCACTTTTTTTTTTTTTTTTTTTTTTAATGTTTTTTCATTATTGATTTGAGAGAGAGAGGAAGTGAGAGGGAGAAACAGAAACATTGATGCAAGAGAACATGAATTGGCAGCTTCCTGCACAACCCCCACTGAGGATCAGACCCACAACCTGGGCATGTGCCCTGGTCAGTAATCAAACTGGCAACCTTTGGAGCATGGGTTGATGCTCAACCAGTGAGCCACACCAGCTGGGCTGGGGCCACTTTTAAGGGGCAAAATGGAGGCTTGGTTTCCTGGGATCTAAACTCTGACCTGGTCAACTAGAGACAGTCTGCTTTTTTCTATTCATACATTGGGACTTTGAGGATGACTTGTTTTATTTTATTTTATTATTTTTATTTATTTTATTTATTTTTTCTTTATTGATTTTAGAGAAAGAGGAAGAGAGAGGGATAGAAACACTGTTGAGAGAGAACATCGATTGGCCGCCTCCTGCATGCCCTGCACTGGGGATTGGGCCCACAACCTGGGCATGTACCCTGACCGGGAATTGAACTGGTGACCTCTTGGTGCATGGGTCGATGCTCAATCACTGAGCCACACTGGCCAGGCCAGCTGAATTTTATTTATTGCTCTTGCGTTCAACAATCTTACACTCTACACCACCACTACCACCACCACCTCCCAAAAATGAAGAAACAAACACAATCTTACACAGTAGTTCTAATAGATTGTAGATTCTATTGTATGTTATATGTATACAGCAAATCATCTGAAAGTGACATCGTTTTTTTCTTATAAGTCCTATACTTTTCATTATTGTTCTTGTTTTACTCAACACATTGAACTGAAGTGATGATAGTATCTTTTTCTTATTCTAGTCATAGCTTTCATTGGACCACCATTAAATGCCAAGTTTGCTGTAGACCGGTGGGCTTCACCTGCAAGTAGTTTGTGCAGTTGCATATTCAGACCTCTTTAGGTGCGTGAAAGTTACAAACCTAGTTGCATAAGATCCTGTGCCAATAGTGCCCAGTTCTGCCATTGCCTTCATGACATTCTTTTTTTAGAGAGAGGAGAAGAGAGAGATAGAAACATGGATGAGAGAGAAACATCCATCCACTGCCTCCCGCATGTCCCCTACTGGAGATCAAGCCTGAAACCCAAGCCTGTACCCTGACTGGTAATTGTTCAGTCCATTGAGCAACATGTTCTGGGCTGGGCTTTCAGGAAAATTTGTTGTTGTTGCCTCCTGCATGCCCCCTACTGAGGATCCAGCCTGCAACCCTGGCATGTGCCCTGACTGGGGATGAAACCCAGACCTCTCAGTCCACTGAGACCGATTCTCAATCCACTGAGGCACACTGGCCGGGCCAGCTGAGTTGTTGTTTTTTTTATCATCACCCAAGGACATTTTTTCCATTTTTTGTTCAGATAGAGTGGGAGGGAGAGAGAGAGAGAGAGAGAGAGAGAGAGAGAGAGAGAGAGAGAGAGATCGACGCGAAAGGGACACATTGAGTGGTTGCCACCCGCAGGGCCCAACCAGGCCGGGGACAAACTGCAACCGAGGTACATGCCCTTAGCGGGAACCGAACCCGGGTCTCTCCAGACCCCAGGCCGAAGCTCTAACCGCTGAGCCAAACCGGCCAGGGCTTTTTTAAAAATATTTTTTCCACACTTGCCAGGGACAAAATTTTTAATAATTCTTGAACAAAGATCCTATGTATTCATTTTGTCCTGAGTCTCAGGAGGTTTCTGGTAGAAACTGTTTCGATTAATCTAGTTCCATTCTATTACTAGTTTGAGCTTTTTAAAAATTGAATTTATTGGGGTGACATTGGTTAATAAAATTATACAGATTTCTGGTGTAGAATTCAGTAATATATCATCTGTATATTGTAGTGTGTGTTCACCACCCCAAGTCGACTTCTAGTTTGCTTTGAGATATATATATATATATATATATATATATATATATATATTTCATAGTATAGGAGGGATAGTATTGAAAGAATCATGTTTTCCCTTTTAATCTATTAATGTTATTAAAAGACAAAATTCAGCTGAGTAAGTTTGAAGGTCTAATTGGGTTTATTAAGCGATTCATGAATTTGAAGAATCCCGTCTAGCAACAAACTAGATTGGTGCTCTCAAGGGGTTGTACAAAATAGGTTTTTATAGGCAGAAAGAGGGTATAACTAAGAAGAGTGGATTATTCCAGGCAGGGATACCTTCCTTCCAGGAAGGCAGGAGTCTTAGCAGGCAGATTACCTCATTAATGTGGATCAGGAAATTCCCAACTGATTGGTTTAAAATTCCACTTTTGGGAGAAGCTGAAGCTGCATTCAGTTTAGAAGTCAAATCTGGGCTTGGTATCATAGGGTTTTAGCAGAAGTGATGCCATATTAGGTCTGTGGTTTTCTCTTTGACAATGTGGAAAATTACATTAATAGATTTTTTGTGATAAATCATTCCTGCATTTTTAGCCTAAACTCATTTGGCAATAATGTATTTAAAATATATTTTATGCCCTGGCCAGTTTGGCTCAGCAGTTAGAGCGTTGGCCCTTGGACCAATGAATTGCGGGTTTGATTCTGGTCAAGGGCACGTACCTCAGTTGCAGTTCGTCCCCCACTCTGGTCAGGTTGTGTGACATGGAGGCAACCAGCTGATGTGGCTCTATCCTCAGGTGAGGAATAAAAAAAAAAAAAAAAAAAAAAATATATATATATATATATATTTTTTTTTATCCTCACCCGAGGACATTTTTCCATTTTTTGTTCAGATAGAGTGGGAGGGAGAGAGAGGAAGAGAGAGAGAGAGAGAGATACATCGATGTGAAGGGACACATCGAGTGGCTGCCACCCGCACGACCAGCCAGGGCCGGGGATAAACTGTAACCGAGGTACGTGCCCTTAGCGGGAACCGAACCCGGGTCTCTCAGGACCGCAGGCCAACCACTGAGCCAAACCGGCCAGGGCAATAAATAAAATATATTTTATTTTATTTTTTTAATCCTCACCCGAGGACATTTTTCCATTTTTTGTAGAGTGGGAGGGAGAGAGAGGAAGAGAGAGAGAGAGAAACATCGACGTGAAAGGGACACATCGAGTGGCTGCCACCTGCACGACCCAACCAGGGCCAGGGACAAACTGCAACCGAAGTATGTGCCCTTAGCGGGAACCAAACCTGGGTCTCTCTGGACCACAGACCGATGCTCTAACCACTGAGCAAAACTGGCCAGGGCAAAATATATTTTATTTTTTAGAAAAGTTTTAAATTTACAGAAAAATTGTGAAGCTAGTACAGAGTTCCTGTATATCACGTACCCAGTTGCTCCTATCATTCACATGTTACTATTAGTATGCTTCAGAGAAGCAACTTTCATGCATTCATCCACTAATCAATCCTTGAGACCAAGAGTAAGGCTTTGTCTAAGGGCCCACAGTTGTTACTGAACAGCGACTGGGTTGGAGCAGGTCTTCAGGCCAGCCTGAAGGAAAGATTTCACATGAGTCCAGGTGATTTTGAGAGTATATTTATTAAAGCTGGGGGCCAGTGAAACAAGGAAGGCCTAGGATAGAAGCAACAGGAGACAGACTAGGCAGGGATGATTTGGCTCTCTAGAAACATTACGGGAAAGACATTAGCCAAGGGGGGCACCGCTGTCAGCTCATTGAGATGTAAGAGAAAATGGGGCCTTGGGGAGAGGTTCAGGGATTCAGCCCAGGACCAGCTGCCACTGCCTATTGCTCTTCTGGTTGTAAGTTTTGTGGGACACTTAGAGTTTAGGAGATTTATGCCTATGGGGAAAGAAGGGGAAGAAAAAGGCATGGGCATAGTCCTGGGTGGGAGAGCACATGTTGGGTCCTTCGTCTTGAGGGTTTTATTTATTATTATTATTATTATTATTATTTATTGATTTTAGAGAGAGAAGGGAAAGAGAGAGAAACATGGATTTGTTGTTCCACTTATTTATGCATTTATGGTTGCTTCTTGTATGTGCCCTGACCAGGGAATGAACCTGCCTGCAACCTTGGCATATTGGGACAACACTATCAGGGCTGTCTTGAGGGTTTTAAAGGCTGAGAGTTTAAAGGAGATCTCAACAGAATATTCATCAGCTTTTGCAAGTGTATCCTTTCAGGGTCGTAGTCTTGTCGGTGGAAGTGGGGTTCTTGAAATGTCTCAAGGAAAAGCAATTCCAGGGACCCACAAGAGAAGATGAGGTCTGATGGCAAAATCTATCCAGCAAGCAAAATTAAAGAAGTTCCCCAATATCCCATCTCTGTCTCATAATGGAAAATCAGGGCCAGAAATAGAGTCAATGTCCAGAGATCCCATGCCATATTAAAGCTTAGTCCAGTCCAACATTTGGCAAGCTTAGCTTATGTTCCTGGCTGCAATCCGTGGCTTTGCTGCTGTACCCAGGCTCTGGCCTGGTGTGTGGAGTCCATGCAGCCATCAGCCATGTGGCTACTAAGGCCACAGGGCTGTGGAGAAAGAATGAGAGAACGCAGGGGTAAAGTTCCCAAGAGCAAGAGTTTCTTTGTTCACCTGGAAGGGTGTATTCTCTGGCTTGGGAGGAACCAGAAACATTCAAAAGAACTAATCAGCTTCCCAAACTTTCCCGGGCTTGCATTGGCTCCACTCCTCTAGCCAATGATTTTATCTTCAGGTTAGATGGACAGGTCTCTATGGTCCAGCACCTCCCCCTGCACCATTTTGACTTTATTGCACATGTTTGTATCGTCCCCTGCTCTCCTCCCACCCTCTTCTGGATAATCCAGTACTGTACTGAAGGGGGAAGGGAGGGGTGTTAATCCCCTTGGAGGGGTGTGAACTGTAGCTTCCTGGTGAAACAGACCTCTGCTTCCCAGCTGAATATGCTCAACAGTCTCCCCCTTTGCTTCCTTTCCCATCAATTAGCTAACTATGGTAACAGTCTCCACTGATTGGTCAAGGGCTCCTTAGTGGTGGCAGCCCATTCTGTCGCTGCCCATCTGGTTTTGCTGCTTTTCTGGGCCTGGAACTGAAATACAAATGAGGCCTAGATGTTATCTCTAGTGAGGTGACCTTCTATATCTGGCTGTAAATTGCTCGGCCAGCTGTCTCAGTTTCCCCATTCCACTTACCGTGGAATTTTCCTAGCTTCTTTCTATCCTGTCTCACAGTGAATAAGAGGTGGAATGAGGGATGGTTTCCAGACCTCCTGCCCCACTGCTGTAGGCTCTGCCTTTCTGGGCCTGACCTTCAGCAGCCATGTTCGAGTTCCTGGGTCCCATGAGGCCCCCCAGAACTTTGTGTATACTAGGACCTTTTTAGTGCTTCTGGACCAGTCCAGGCTTCAGAGCAACCAGAGGTCTGACTAGAACTCCTGGAGCAGCCAGCATTCAACTGCCTGGCCTACGAAGCCTTGTGGTGTCTGTGGGTCCAGTCTTGTTCTTCCTCCCAAAGTCATATGATCCAATGGCATAGACCACCTTTCCTCTGAGCTGGGGCCCGGCTCAGCCAGGATGCAGAAGGAGGGGAAGTTCCTCCCTCAGAAGATGCTGGGGGGTGTGGGTGTCGGCGAGGTATTGAGGGGTGTCAACGTAAGAAAGGTTCAAACCTGTGAAGAATTTTGTGAACTTATTTGAGCCAAACTGTCGACAAATGCTTGGAAGCAAAACCACAACTAACTGAGCTAATGCTCCAGAAAATGGCAGTTTCACACCTTAATTTATACATTACAATCAAAAGAGAAGATGTGCCCTGGCCGGTTTGGCTCAGCTGTTGGAGCATTGGTCTGCGGTCCAGAGAGACCCAGGTTCGGTTCCGCTAAGGGCACGTGCCTCGGTTGCAGTTTGTCCCCTGCCCTGGTTGGGTCGTGTGGGTGGCAACCACTAGATGTGTCCCTTTCATGTTGATGTTTCTCTCTTTCTCTCTCCCTCCCACTCTATCTGAATAAAATATCAGGAAAAAAAAAAGTCCTTGGGTGAGGATTAAAAAAAAAAAGAGAGAAGATGTAAGTGGGTTACATGAAATCCACTGATGACAGATTAGGGAGGTGGGAGAAAGCAAAGTGGGGAGGGGGTGGGTTCTCTGGGGCTGGATAAAAAGTAAAATGATAGCTACATCTTTCTTTTACATAGATGGGTACAGGATAGTTAACAGTCAACAATTAACACGACAATAATAACAATGAGGGGATTTGTGGTTTCTGCCCTGGTGCATAGGTTGTGCCCTAAGGAGCCTGGAAAAGGAAGTTACCCCACATTCTAAAGGTACATTATCTTAGATGCGAAGAAAAACAAAGAAAGAAAGAAAGAAAGAAAGAAAGAAAGAAGGCAATAGATCTTTGTCAGGGAATACATCAGCCTAGGACATGACTACTTGGCCATAAACTGCTTTTAGTTAAAAAGTTTAAATTTCTGAGGGGCTGATGTGGCTCAGTGGTTGAGTATACACCCATGCACCGAGAGGTTGCTGGTTTGATTGCTGGCCAGGGTACATGCCAGGGTTTTTGGGCTCGATCCCCAGTGGGGGGTGTTCAGGAGGCAACCAATTGATGTTTGTCTCTCCCTCTCCCTTCCTCTCTCCTAAAAATCAATAAAAAAATACATAAAATCATTTTTAAAGTTTATTTCAGACCATCCTTTGTGGTTACTTTAGGTCTTTTAGTTTGCAAGGCTGTCACACAAGCCTTTCCTGAGCTTGTCAGTTTAGCGTAGGATCCCTTTCCCTACACAGGGGCTTCTTAGTCTAGGGATTAGCAACGGCTTTGTGCTTAGATTTCCATGTGACCACCAGGCCAAACTTTGTTTTTTCTCTCTCTCTAATATCCTTATGAGTTGGGTGAGGGGATGGGAGTCTAGTTCCTTCCCTCCTGCAGTTAGGTCAAGCTCCCCAGGCTCCCTTCGGAGAGCGCTCCAAAGGAGGATCTTGGCATGCCTTGTCTGAGAGTCCAGAAACTTAAGCAATGCAGAGAATTCTGGAGGCTGAAAGGCAGAAGGAAGGTCTTTTGGTTTTCAGATCTGGGTATGAATCCGAGTCACCCGGTCTGGCTGTGGGACCTTGGGCAGGCACTCTGAGACTCATTTTCCCTGAGTGATAAACGACTCCTGCGCAGCCAGTTCTGGAGGGAAATGAAGAAGGCAGTAGGTGTAGTAATTCCCAGGGAGAGACTAGTCACAGCCCGTGAAGCTGGGACAAGTGGGTCCAAAAGGCGCCTGGGTCGGTGTCTACTCCGGGCTTCTGTGAGAATGGCACCCGGAGGCGTGGGCGACTCCGCCCGCCCGGGCCGCACAGCTAGCAACCTGGGACCATTCTGGTCTCGATGGGCGGGCACACCCAGCACCTGGGCAGGCGCGGGAGGGTAGTGCGGGCCCTCCGCGGGGCTGGGAGCAGCGCCGGGCAGCCTGGGGACACGCGCCCGGAGTGGGGGGAGGTAGGCCGGGCGCGCGGGCCCGGAGCCCCCCAGCGGACAGGACTGGGCGAGGGGACCTGACCGGCCGGCGGAATGCAGGCGGCGCCGAGGGCAGCCGGGCGAGCGCTGGGGCTTCGGCGGCGCCCGGATGCAGGCCAGGAAGGCAGGGGTGGCGCCGCAGCCTCGCGCCGCGTGGGAAGACGTCTCTGCCCGCGGTACCCCCTGGGTGTGCCCCCAGCCCCAGGCCCCCGCCGAGGTCACGTGTCAGCACGTTCCCGCCGTTGTCGTCTCATCCCGTGTCATAGCCCCTCCCCCAGGCCCGGGACCCCCCCCATCCCAGGCCCTATCCCCCCCACCGCGCTGACCGCGCCGGTCCCTTCCAGTCCCTCCTCCACCGGCCCGTCTGCCCGCGGGGAGCGCCCAGGCCAAGACCCCGGTGGAAGACACTCGTCGGCACGTTCTCACCCCAGTCATCTCATCCTTCAGCCTAGCTCCACCCCAGGCCTGGCAACCCGGTCCCCTCTGAGTCTGTCCACGGGCCCAGCCCCGCGCTAACCCGGGCTCAGGCCTCATTCCTGAACCTCGGTGTCTCCTCCCAGACGACGCGCCACCGCCCAGGATGCAGCCCGCAGGCTGGGCGGCCGTCAGGGAGGCGGCGGCCCGCGACCTGCTGGCCGCGGATCTCCTCTGCAGTCTGTTCACCTCCGCCCTGCAGAGCTACAGGCGCGACTCGGCGCTGCGGCCTTTTCCCGCGTCCTATGCCCGCCACGACTGCAAGGACTTTGAGGCCCTGGTGAGTGTGGTTTTTACCCCCCGGCGCTGCCCACTGCTTCCCAGGCTACGTGTCCTGTGGCACCTGTGTTAGTATACACGCCAGCCGCCCGACTCTTCATTCCCAGCGTGGCCTTGGGGAAGGTTTCCATGAGCTAAAACACTCCCCAAGCCCTAATGTCTATATTCCCAAGGCACTTTGTGTCTGCTTCCTCTTGTTAATGACGAGTGACTTCCAGGAGTGAACTGAGGAACTCAGTAGTTAGATAGGCCTCCGTTTGATTTCCTAGTGTGGCTAGCAATAGGGTGTTGATCCGGTCAGCTGGCTCAGCCAAATAGGACGTTATTCATCCCTTTGCAAATACACAGCAACCAAAGCCACCCTCATACCTTGATCTTCAGATGAGGTAATATATGGGCAGTGCTCTTATAAATTGTGACATACAGTACACATGTGAGCTCTTAATTCTTTGATGATTCACAAGGCACTTAATTTCTTGCAGAGTTCACTTTAGGGTCGGCATTCCAGATATCAGTTATTTTGTAATTCTAATGTTTGGAATTACCTAGAAAAATATGATTTTCCAAAATTGATTCTATAAGAAATAGAAAATTGAAATACCTATAATCATTAAAGACACTGAATTGACCCGGCCCGCAGGTCGATCAACGAGTACTCTAGAGGGGGAGTGAGGATGAGGAGGGAAAAGAGACACTAGAAATGGAGACAAGACAGGATTCTGATCAAGTCTCGTTTATTCAGGGGGAGTTCACGCAATATATAGGGGGAAAACAGATGAAACAGTTAATGAGTATCCCACCTGAAGCAAATTCCAGTAAATACCCCAGGTGGAACAAATGATAAGCAAAGAATGGAGTAAACAATTATCTAGAGGAATGCAGACACTGCATGCAGAGAGACCCCGCCCTGGGGCCGGAGACAGCAGAGCAGACTTTAATAAGATGGATACCATGCAAATGGTCTCCCACACTGAATTAGTAAATTCACTCAAAGAAAGCTCTAGGCTTAGCTGGTTTCCTTGGTGAGTTCTACCAGTCAGGGAATAAGTAATTCCACTTGTACACAAATTCTTCCAGAATATTGAAAAAGACTCTAGTATATCAGATACTACATCTGATAAGGATGACACAAGAAAATAAAATTATATACCCAGCCAGTGTGGCTCAGTGGTTTGAGCATTGTCCCATGGACTGAGATGTCCCGGTTCAATTCCTGGTCAGGGCAGCTGATCGATGTTTCTATCTTCTCCCTTTCTTTCTCTCTAAAAAAATTAATAAAAACATTAAAAATAAATAAATAAATAAAATAAAATTACAGGCCAATGTCACTCATGAGTATGCATGTAGAAATCCTCTATAAAATATTAGGATCTTGCCCTGCTGGTGTGGCTCTGTGGTTGAGCCTTGTCCCATGGACTGAGAGATCCTGGTTCAATTCCTGGCCAGGTCACATGCCCAGGTTGCAGGCTCCATCCTTAGGAGGGGGCATGCAGGAGGCAGCTGATTGATGGTTCGCTCTCATATCAATGTTTCTATCTCTCCCTTTCTCTCTCTCTAAAAAAATCAATGAAAACATTTTTTTTTTTTTATCCTCACCCGAGGATATTTTTCCATTTTTTTTTGTACAGATAGAGTGGGAGGGAGAGAGAGGAAGGGAGAGAGAGAGAAACATCGACGTGAAGGGACACATCGAGTGGCTGCCACCCGCACGACCAACCAGGGCCGGGGACAAACTGCAATCGAAGTACGTGCCCTTAGCGGGAACCGAACCCGGGTCTCTCCGGACCGCAGGCCGACGCTCTAACCGCTGAGCCAAACTGGCCAGGGCTGAAAACATATTTTAAAAAATTTAAAATCAGCCCTGGCCGGTTTGGCTCTGCGGTTGGAGCATGGGCCTGCGGACCAGAGAGTCCCGGGTTCGGGACTAAGGGGCACTAAGGGGCACGTACCAAAAAAAAAAGAAAATCAGTTAATGTTATGAACCATATTAACAGATTTAAAGAGATGTTTAGAACTATCTCTGATGAGGTGGTCAGTATTCCGTTTCCTCTTTGCTTTCACTTCCAGGGGGTCAAAGGACAAAGCCCAGTCTCCTGGCCCCACATGTATTGAGGGCATCTCAGGCCTACGCCATCATACACAGGTGTTTCAGGGTACAGGAAGTGGGAAGTCAGAGAAAGATAAGCCAACTGACTTTTTCCACAGTTTGTTCTGCAAATTTAGATGTTCAGTTTTGTGAGTTTGTGATATCAGAGTCTTGGGATGACCACACCTTTATTTTGTCAATAGGTATTAATGGAGTGCTTGCTGTGGGCCAGGTGCTAAGGAAACAGAAAGACCCAAGGGGAGGTTAACAGTGTGCTCAGCTGTACTATGGGATGAGCCATGTAGAAGTATACTTCGGAGATATTGCAGGTTTGGTTCCAGAGCACTGTAATAAAGTGAGCTGTAATCTTTTTAAAAAATTATTTTTTCTTTATTGATTTTTAGAGAGAGAAGAAGGGAGAGAGAGAGATAGAAACATCAGTGAGAGAGAACATCCATTGGCCGCCTCCTACATGCCCCCCACTGGAAACCAGGCCCATAACCTGGGCATGTGCCCTGACCAGGAATTAAACCAGTGACTTCCTGGTGCATGGGTCGATGTTCAACCACTGAGCCACACTGGCTGGGTGAGTTGTAATCTTTTTATGGTGGAGGGTCTTGCCTACAATTTGTAAAAAAACACCATCTGTGAAGTTCAATAAAATGAGGTGTGCCTGTATATATGACGAAGCACAGAGCAGGGACCTCAGCATTTGGCACTGAGCTGGGGTTAGGGAATACTAACCAAGAGTAGTGGCTGATTCTATGCTGAGTCCCTAGGGACATGGAGGATTTTTTTTTGAGAAGCAGAGAGGAGGAAAGTGCTATTCTAGGAGGAGGAATAGGATGGGCAGAGAGCCCTCTCACCAAGAACAAGTCTGTATTTTAGTGTGGCTGTTGGGAGCAGGAAAAGGTGAGGCCAACCAGAGCATGCAGGGCTTGGTATGTCCTGCCAAGATGTGTAGATTTTATCCTTGGTCAGGGGAGAGCATTGGTGAGATATAGGATGCGTTTCTGAAAGACCCTTGTGGTGGTAGGATAAGAGGGAGATTGGAGTCAGAGGGACCACACTCATAAGAGATGGTGCCCCATAATGCATTTTATTAATTTTTCCAAGAAACCTTCAAGTGGACTAGAATGCTCTTTGCTGGAAGGGCTTATTGGCAAACAGAATCAGGTTTGTTTGATGAATATGGGATAAATGCAAAGGGATCTTTGGAACTGTTTTTATTTGTTTATGCTTTTATTTATTTATTTTTTTATCCTCACCCAAGGACATTTTTGCATTTATCTTCAGATGGAGTGGGAGGGAGGAAGAAAGAGAGAGAGAAACATCAATGTGAGAGAGGTACATTGAGTAGTTGCCACCCACACAACCCCAAGTGGGGCCAGGGACAAACTGCAACCAACGTTCGTGCCCTTAGCGGGAACCACACCCTGGTCTCTCTGGACTGCAGGCTGATGCTCTAACCGCTGAGCCAAACTGGCCAGGGCTGTTTATGCTTTTAAAAAAATTTAACTATGCAAGTAATTATTCTTGTTATAAAAAAATTCAGCCCTGGCCGGTTTGGCTTAGCGGTTAGAGCGTCGGCCTGCAGTCCAGAGAGACCCGGGTTCGGTTCCCGTACCTCGGTTGCAGTTTGTCCCCGGCCCTGGTTGGGTCGTGCGGGTGGCAACCACTCAATGTGTCCCTTTCATGTCGATGTTTCTCTCTCTCTCTCCCTCCCACTCTATCTGAACAAAACATGGAAAAAGTGTCCTCGGGTGAGGATGGAAAAAAAAATTCAAATGATATCAATCAAGTAAAAGTGCCCTTGATAGAACTCACACTAGTCCACATCCCTTCCTGTAGGCATCAGTGCTCTCAGTTTGGAGCACACCCTTTCTCCCATTTCTGTAATTCCTTAGGAGAGCATCAGGTAGCCCCAAAATAGTCGTCTCCTCTAGAGGGACAAACTGTCCCTCTCTTGGGGCTCATTGTGCTGGTTCCATAGGGCATCCTTTCTTTCAAGGGCCACTGGAGAAACACAGACAGACTCTTAACCAGCCCGTTCTGTTGCCATATTCCTTATCGTGCACCATTTGGGAAACTAGCCCAGGCCATACAGATTCTTGGCTGTCTGTAGGCATGGTTTTAATAAGTCTGGCCAGTCAGGACACATGCCCGGGTTGTGGGCCAGATCTCTAGTGGGGAGCATGCAGGAGGCAGCCAATTGATGTTCTCTCTCATCGATGTTTCTATCTCTCTCTCATTTCCTCTCTCTCTAAAATCAATAAAGGAAAATAATAAGAATAAGCAATTACCTAAGGGAAGGCTGCTCACCAAGCAGGACCTGGTATGACCTCTGGGAGCATGCACATGTCTTTAGATAAACACACTTCAGGTTTCGTTTTGTCACATGTTACATGAGTTACAGAAAAAAATGTGGAGAATTTGGCACTTGGACCTGTATCAGATTCAGTGATTAACTTGGAAAGAACAGGGAATGAGGTCTGGGTTTGTTCTTCTGGATCATTTTGTGGTTACCTGAAGAAGGAAGGTGTGGGCTGTTAAAAAGGCTCTCATTTTCATTTGTTTAGCTAAAAACAGGTGGAAGTAACATGAAACAGTTTATCATTTTTAACCATTTTAAATTGATTTTCTCCATACTATAAGCTGTCATTACACACCTATGTTGCAGTTTCCAAAAATTAGAGCTCTGGCTTGAATTACTTTATTGATTATTGCTTTCCTGAGAACGCCTCCTGCTAAACCAAACTCTTGGCTTTAGGCACGGCTCTGGCCCTATTCTCACATGCCCCAAAGTCCCAAATCATCTCTCAGGGGCCCTTGTTTTGAGGATATTTTTATTTTGAGGCAGCACTTCAATTTTACACTGGAAGGTCTTTGTATTCCAAGTGCCTGGCCTGGGAGGT